AGGGGGGGGGGGGGGCGTCACAGAGAGCTACCCGCCATATTTATGCTGTGTCCGCTACTCGTACACCCCTCCGCGATGAGGGACTTATGCTGCCAGTGGATGATGATGATAATTCAAAAACTCCCGCCCTCCCACACGCTCGGGGTCTGACTCTTCACATTGGGAACAGTGAGAGCAGTTTCACCAGGTGACATGACAGATATGTGTTGAATTTACGTTTAATACGGCTGGAGAACCGGCAAGCTGAGGAAAGCAGGCAGGCAGCGGCGGAGGACAGCATGGAGGAAAGGGCGTCCATTTTAGGAAAAGGTAAAGACTACTGGGAGGGTGGAGACCAAAGGATTTGTTGTCATTAAATTACACGCAAGAAGATTGTGTAGGTGACTTCTGAAGCTGATGCAATACAAATATGAAGTAAATAATACATGACATAAAGATATACAAAGGAGTAACTATACATGAATTACACACATTTTTGGATAGTAAAACTATAAAAGGCAATAACAAGACGATGCAACAATAAAGTGATGTTACACCCTGCACAAGTAATAATGATTCCTTTGAGACGACAGGGGTTATCTTGTATTGTTAGTGAGATGTATCCTCCTTTAGGTCTTAGAGTTCAGTCCTGAGGTGGTCCTTGGAAAGAAGTGCAGGCATCTTGGGGGGTTTCTTGGGGCAGAGGAAGTCATGCATCCCCCTTGGGTTTCTGTCGTTTAGGACAGAAGCTTCTACTACATAAATGTCAATGTCGACTCCTGAATAATGACCTTCTCGAGGTGTCTCCATGGCCATCGCTCAGTTTTCCCTTCTGTCTTCCAGTCCGACACCTGCTGAAGAACAATGTCAGCCCGGACCTCTGCAACGAGGATGGACTCACTGCCCTGCACCAGGTAGGAAGCACCCCCTCCCCCGCCGCCCTGGGCTCGCTCCTTGCCCTGCTTGATCTGTTGACCCACGCCTTCCGGATCGTCTGGCTCCTGCGCATCACCATGGACTTTTTAGTCGGTGGTTACTGAGCTTAGAGGTGAAGTCACCAGACCGTTAAGAGACCTCAGATCCACCGTTAGTCACCTTCCTTTACTGCTTGGACCTTGGTTTTGATATGACTGTTCACCAAAAATTCAAGGAAAGCATGTGGTCTGTCAAGCTAGATGCCAGGTGCTTGCAGACGAGGGGCAACGTTTCGCTTCCTGTCACATTTCAAGCTGGCATGATCTCATAATCACTCTGTGGCGTCAAACCCCCCCCCACCCCACCCCATTCCTGGGCTGCTATCGAGATGTATCTTCATGTGGGTGCCTTGCAAGGGGGGGGGGCTTCCCATACATTTGATGGGTAGCTTGATTGTTGTCAGTGTCGCATATGTGATGAGCCATTCAGGTGCTGCCATTGTGTGTTTGACTTCGCCGCATTTACTGCGACATGCAGAGGTCCCCGGAATGGGTCCATTTACCAAGGTGACGTGTTAGAACAGGCAGGCTAGGGGCAGACGAGCCTGTGCTCCATGTGATTTTTATCTTCCATGATTTTCATCATCAGGATAGTGTTCTTTTTAAAATGAATTTCTATCAGTGAAGAACAGTGTCTTTTTATTGTTACTGAGGATTAGCTTTGTACTGCGTTATGGTTGACATGGTTGGTCATCCTTAGTAGCTTACAGCATCTGCAAATCATTATGTGTGTAAGATGTACAGGAGTTTTTTGAAAAAGCCCCATCTGGGTGGAAAGTTAAGAGTTCTGGAACGTTCCCCCTGAGCGAGGTACTTACCCTTCTGCTCTTCAGATGGGACGCGTCAGTGGTAAAGCCTTCCACTGTATTAAACACTACATTTCCTAAGGCACATTTTGACCAAGGTAAATATACTATTGGTGTATGTGTCCCTGTTGGGCCCTTTACCAGGGATATCATCTTAAACCGGCTTTTAGCTGTAAAGTTTCTTCGCTTAGATGACTCAGCTTGACATCCCCACAGTAGAAGTAAACCGTACTGATGACCTTACACTGTCTGCCCTTGTACCATCTGCATTGTGAATTCCACACCCTACAGTAACCAGTAACCAAAAAGGTAAAATTAGCCCCTCCCCCGTCGCTTATATTACACTTAATGAGTGATTTTTAATGAAGGGAATACTTTGTGGCCCACCCGTTGCTTTCAGTCAGTGTGAAAACATTGCAGGTTTTGTTACTCTCGCACCAGCTCACACGCACGAGCCAGGCCGCAACATTGCCTGCTTGTCTGCCCCCACATGAAGGCGTAATGGGCTTCTCCGTCAGTCCCGCGTGTCTGAATGCTTGGCCAGAGACTCCATGAAAGGCTGCCATTATTTACTACTTTATTTCATTGTGTTTTTTTTCCCCCTCCAAATGGGTGATCACAGTGGAGGGAAATGGATTAATGACGTGTGTGGGAGTTGGGGTTTGGGTTTGCGTTTTGAGTTTTTGTCCCTCCGAAACCTAGAGTCCTGACAGCTTGCACTTTTGAATCTGCTCCACTGATCTTCCTAGTGCTTATCTTGAGATGTAATATCGTTCTTCATTATTTTGATGCGTCAGATTACACAAATCCTGCCTTCGCTAATCCTGTTTACTTCTGATAAACTAATACAGCAGGAAGTATGTTGCACATACATTTTCATGTAAAGGTATTCTTCCTTTCAAACTGGTGTTCTATTGTTGTTTTATTCCGTTTTCGATGTGAACAGTTAGATTTCTATCAGTAGAATGCAGGATGTATTTACCGTCAACTGTATGACCTTATTTTAAATAGCGCTCACTGCTAAAAATGCAAAGCTCAACTTCTCTTTTTATGCATTGTCATACTGCTTTCAGCTCAGTTATTTAGGTTGATTTCCCTAAAGCAGTTGCATTTTACTACCTTGTTTTTTCTCATTTTCTCATGTCTCTGTTCCTTTTGGGATCTACTTCTCTTATTAATGTATAAACAGGATGATCGTACTTGACCTATTTTTTTTTTCTTCAATATTGCCCTTTTACGTGACTGATAAATTGCTACATAATTCTGTGTTGAATTTGTGTTTGGCTGAAGGATCACCAAAGGTTTATTTAAGCAGTGTTTTATTCATTTATTAATGATTCCTGTTTAGCTTTTAACCGAACACTGGAACATTATCAGGATTAGTGCACAAGATGCCCTCAGAGCAAAAATGTTTATTTTTTTGTTGACTTGGAAAGCATGCTTCCTTTAATAGTAGTGAAGTATACACTGAAGCTAACTACCTTACAGAGCTGCACTTGTGCAGGAGAGTACTTCTGTCAGGGATTAACTTGAATGCTGCTTTTATTTTGACTTCATACAATACTCAGTAGAGCATTTCAAGTTGTTTTAGCAGAAACCTTACTAAATACGTGCTTTCGCTTTTCGGTACACGTCATGATGGCATCGTCCCACGACCCCTGGAGAAGACGTGCTACGCAAATGAAAGTGTAGCGGCATGTCGCCGACGTCTTCAGAATCTCGTTTCCTAGAAAATGTAGATTTTTTTTTTTACAGTGCCGTGGCGTACACCTGCAGTCGAAATCTCTGGCGTTTGGTCAGGGTTAGGGGTAGGGCTTTGTCTTTCCGGGGATACGCTGCAGAAATATAAATGATGTTAGTAGGGAATTAGTGGTGGAATGCGTGCTGTGGTCAGACTTGGTGAATAAAGCAAGTGTGGGAGATGGGGATGACATCGCAGGCTGGCCATCCGCGCGAGAGAGACGGGATGGGCAGAGCTCATCCTGCTGATGGCTCACAGAGCTGAAGCGAAAGGTCGGGGGGGGGTGGCTGAAAGTAAACACAGTGTTTCTGTTTCTCGTGCTCCGCAGTCATCTGAAGTGGGGCCTCGCCTCGCCGAGCTCGGTGTGCGTGCTCATACAAGCTGGGCCTGCCTTTCCTCGCTGTCCCAGAATCCCTTAATGTACACGTCTCTCCTGGCCTTTTCATTTGCCTGCCCTGCTTTCTCCCTCTCTCTCTCTCTCTCTCTCTCTCTCTCTCTCTCTGTCTCTCTCCCTCTCCCTTTCTTCCCCATTCTGTGCCATTTAACATGCCGGTGTAGTCATGCGATTATATTCAGAGTGACTGAATAATAAAAATGTCCCCTTTTTTGTGTTTAATGCTGTAATATTCAGTCCATTAATTATAGGTTGTTTATTTATTTTTTCCCAGAATCCTTCAGCAAAGTGAAAGTGCATGCCATTATTACGACTTGGCCTCACAATGCGGCCTGATTCACTCCGCCTGTCATTTCAGCTTCTCCACTAAAATGACACATTAGCTTTGTCGAGTGGCACTAAGCTGGCAAGGAGGACATCCGCCTCGCTGCTGCTCTGTCTTTCGGGTCTGGGGGTGGGTGCCTACCGGCCTTGTCGGGGGTGCGTTTCCTGTGTCAGCGGTGGGGGGGCGGGCGCCCCCTCCTTCAGAACTTTAGATCAGGTCGGCCTCCTGGCTGCATGTTGTGCTGAGAATAAGCGATTTGCATTCCCTAAGTCATAGTTGGCTGTAACCAATTAGTAACCAGGTGGTCTCTGTTTATTAATTTGC